TGATATAAATAATTTTCACAACAGATATATTGAAATGGTTTGTGTTTTGATCATTAAAGTTTAAAATATGAAATAATGGAATATATTTTGTTAAGATAAAAGAAAATTCTGGACAAAAGGTAGGCTAAATAAATCTATACATAAAAAGCATTTGAAAAGTAGTGAAAAACGACGAAGGCATGGACAAAGTTTCAAAGACAGTTTTAATGTGACCTTCATATAACAAAAATAAAAATTTTGATTTTTTTTTTGTGCTTCACATTGAAGAAAGTCCTATTATGTATTATACAAATGAAATGCACACATATTAGGGGTGGGGGGAAATCAATACAGCATAGTATCGCGATATTTTCTGTGGCAATACTGTATCGATACACGGACGCCAAGTATCGATCTTTTATTATACTATTTGGTAGAATAACAAAATCAATTTATTTACAGTCCACTAGATGGTGGTGTTGAGTTTTTTTCTAAAATCCTTTAATGCACGGCAAGCTGTTGATTATCCCGTTTATTCCATGGTAATTTGTCAGTATTGACAATTTAAAGCTGTTTATGATGTTAGCAGCGCAATATTTAACCGGAAGGGTAAAAATGAGTTATTTTCGTCAGTTTACGGCTCGTTAGCTCTAGCTTTCTGCCCGCTTCAAATCAGATACAGAGATGAAATAGAGCGGTAAGACCACATTTATTTGAATGAATTATAGCATTTATTTGAATGAATTATCGATCGAGAGAGAGATGACAGGTGTGTGTGAATTACCTGCGTCTGTGCGTCTCTCTCTACAAACGATGAAGCTGTTTAGTTACTTCGATTTTACCTCGTTGCTGAGGAAGATAATCAAGAGATCTAGTATCTATGTTATTTTATTAATAAAAGTCGCGGGGCAGCACCGACAATAAGTTTCTGTGTGTGCGCAATGCGATCTGCAATCTCCGACCTCTCTCCCTCTCACTGTGTTATGTGCGAGTGGTGTGTGTGTGTGTGTTTGTGTGTGCATCAATTAAAGCAGCGCATTAATATAAAACGGTGATTAAACTGGCTTGGAAGTACATGGAATGAATGAAAGTAAAATACTAAGAGCACAGCAGTGCATAGTATACCTGTTGTAGCACATTGTTTACTTTAAGAGTAAGTTCTGAAAAAAAAGAAAAGAAAGTTAAGTTGTTCCTGTGGCTCAGTGGTAGCGCATTGCGTTAGCAGCGCAAAAGGTCGTGGGTTCGATTCCCAAAGAACACACATACTGGTAAAAAACAAAACAAAATGTATAGGCTGACTGGATAAAAGCCTCTGCTAAATGCATTAATTATAATTAATTAATTATAAATTAAGAGTACGTGTAACATCTAATTTAAATGTAACATTTTTATTTTAATGTAAGACTATGTTTTATTTATTTTAAATTTAACTATTACTTTCAAATGCCCCAATTGCTGAAGGGTCTGCACAACTTTTTTGTTCAAGTTCAAGTTGCATTGTTCAAAATACCTGTAGTAGCACGGCAGTGCATACCTGTTTACATTTAATTAAGGTTGACTAGACTAGACTGTAATACAAATAGTTGAGTTTGCCAGGTGCATACAACATTTATGACAGGTTTTCATGAAAGTGTTGGTCAGTTTGTCTGCTTGACAATCCCATTTTGCACTGCAACAATAAAACTGAAGTGAGATAAACAAACAAAAAAAATCTGTTTAGTTAAAACAGATGTTGCCAAAGTTTTCATTTGGGGACATAATTTGAAGTTGGAAAAAGGTAATAAATTGCAATATATTGCAGAATATCGCAATATATTTAAAATCGCAATAATATTGTATCATGACACAAGTATCGTGATAATATCGTACCATGGGGCCTCTGGTGATTCCCACCCCTAACACATATGTATAAAAATATGCATTTTTTATTCATAGTAAATTAGACTACTCCTATGCTGCACTTATTTACACATTCATATGTAAAGCAAAGTTCATACATTCACATACATCGACATCACCTTTAAGTACCATTATGGCAAATTCACATCAAATCCCACGTGGTTATACGTTTAATCACAGTTTCTCAAGATTTGATGGCAATGGTTTTAATCCTACAGTTTATGTTTTTTCCCACATCTGCCTTCTACAAGATAATCCATTTTAAGCCACTAAACAGTGAGTCAAGACTCAAAATTGGTCAAAAACACTTCATCACAGTGATTTCAAACTGCCATTCAAAGACTTGCACTCAAATAAAAGTGTCAGTGTCACAATTTTGGGATTTTGTGTACATGGTATTTTTGACAATAGCAGTGCGTTCATTAGATGAACCTATCATCATGACCTCTATAGGCATTGTACTTGGTCGAAATCAGCTGTCATATGTGTATCCTAATAACAACCCTTTGAGAGCCTCAAAATGTGAACTACAATTTTTAACAATTACATTTTTTTGTAAACATGAATGCAATTAAAGTTTTTTTTTTTGTGTCGTACGAATTTGAATAACTAAAATCTGGAAAGTCTGAACATGGGAAAACCAAAATGATGTCAATAAACACAGACAACATGCAATTTCAATGGTAAACAAAAGAAAATCACAAATGAAAACAGGAAAAAAAAAAGATAATTCTGCTATCTTGCTATTGAAGTATAAATATCACAGTCCTTAATAATACATGACAAAATCACCAATCATTCCAAATATATAGTAAAACACTTGGTAACACAAATATACATGTTACTGATTTGGAAAAACTTTTTCAAACTTTTTCAAACATTTGAAAAATGCTTAGATACATATAAATGCTATAAATCAGTCAGTATGTTGTCCAAACACAAATAATATTCAAACAACGCCACTTAAAGGAATAATTCACTCAAAATCATCATTTATTAACCCGCATGCAATTCCATCTTACAATGGTCACCAAAACTGTCTGGTTACCATCATTCTTCAAAATATGTTCCGCAGAAGAAAGAAACTCATACAGGTTTGGAACAACATGAGGTTGAATAAATGATAAAATAATTTTAATTATCCCTTTAAAGGGATAATTCACCCACTAAACCTGTATGCTGCTGAACACAAAAGAAGATATTTTGAAGAATTTTGCTTACCAAATAGTTGCAGTTAGCCATAGAATTTCATAGTATATTTTTTCCAAACCATGGACGTCACTGTCTACCAGCGACTGTTTGGTTACCAAAATTCATCAAAATATCTTCTCATCAACTAAAAATAATCAAAACTCATACAGGTTTGGAACAACATGAGGGTGAATAAATAATGACAGAATTTTCCATTTTTGGGTGATCTATACCTTTAAGACGTCCAGCTGCTTAAACATCTATCTAATATCAACTCACACCTCTTTCTTCACTGTTTACACTCACAGTAGACATGTCTGATTGCTCACTGCTGCGACTGGACGGCCGTGATTGGCTAACAGCCCCCTGTGAAGGAGAGCCATATGTGACCGGCACGGGGAAACTGGGGAGTAAGATGATCTGTGCATCTGAGTAATATGGAGATGTTTGAATACCAGTGGGATAGTAAAGAGGGTAATCTGCGATTAGCATCCTTCTCTGGATATGAGAGACAGTGGGCTTACCCAGTGGGTCGTACCCAGACGGTAACAGATATGATGGGAAATGATGGAGTGCCATTCCGTAGCCTGCCCTGTTGTCCACTGCTACATTATGGTGTGTCAGTGGCAATGTTTGCAGTGTTTTTTCATTGCTGTTCATCGGTGACTGACGTTCTGAAATGCTGTCCGCTGACTGACTTCGCGGTAAAACTGGAGTCACAGGAGAAAGTGACGCACTGCGCTGAAAAGTGGGAGTCATTCGGGGAGAATGGTTGGAGCTGCCAGGGGACAGAGAGCCTAAACAGGAGAGCAAAAACGGAGTTAAAACTTTAAACAAGGTGTTTAGAAATAAATTCACTCTAGTAATTTTAGAGGGATGCCTACCGTTACTGCTAGTTTTCACAGTGCAGCTGCGAGTGCCTCTCCCACGCAGCACATCAGATACCTTAAAACAAGACCACATACAGTATATTCTTGTTTAGATGAGTTACAGAAGTTGTGGTGATAAACATGGATGGATTATGAGGCTAATGGGGGTTTTACGAGCTGAGAGGCCTGGAGTGGACTGACACAGGAAATAAGGCTTTTATAATGTAACATACTGACAGATGAATAGAGCTTGACTGTTTGATGATGTGGAGATTCTATAAATGATATTTATCCCAGATACTCTATAAAAACAAAACTATTATAATATACAAAGTAAAGCAAAAATTCTCAAGTTAAAGCATTTTAGGTATAATTTCATATAGAATTTTGTAATTATGTTAAATAAAGTTAAAATGCAGAGATTTTAAAGGGATAGCTCACCCATAAATGAAAATTCTGTCATTAATTACTCACCCTCATGTCGTTTCAAAGCTGTTAGACCTTTGTTCATCTTTGGAACACAAATTAAAATATATTTTTGATGAAATATGAGAGCTCCCTGACCCCTGCATTGATAGCAAGGGGACTACCAAGTTCAAGGTCCAGAAAGGCAGCAAGGACATCATTAAATTAGTCCATGTGACATCAATGATTCAACTGTAATTTTATGAAGCTACGAGAATACTTTTTGTGCTCAAAGAAGACATAAATTACGACTTATTCAGTTTATTCTTTCACAAGAGTACCACGATGCATGTGTGTGCATTCCTCTGCTTGAAAACAAGCCGCAGCGCATGCAGGTTCTACATCAGAATGCCAGCTCCTGCCAGCAGGATCACACGCATGCAGTGTGGTACTCTCGCGAATGGCGGAAGAGAAGAATTGTTGAATAAAGTCATTATTTTTGTTTTATTTGCTGTCTATGCAGGGTCAGAAAGCTCTCGGATTTGTGTTCTAAAGATGAACGAAGGTCTTACAGTTTTGGAATGATATGAGGGATTAATGACAGCATTTTCATTTTTGGGTGATCTATCAATTTTAAACCCAAATGTGGAATGTAATGTTGCAATTATTATTTTTTTTATTTCTTACAAGAAAGGGTCTCCATGTGGCTTCATACAACTATAATCGATCTTTGGTGACATGTGCAACTGGTAATTAAAGGGGTCCTATTATGCTTTTTCACTTTTTCAACTTTAGTTAGTCTGTAATGTTGGTGTTTGAGCATAAAAAAGATCTGCAAAGTTACAAAGCTCAAAGTCCACTTCAAAAGGAGATATTTTATTTAACAGAAATCACTTTTCAAAAACTACAACGAACGACTCGTTTGGACTACAACGCATATTTTCCGGGATTTGTGATATCACAAATATCGACGAATGGGACAAGACCTGGTTGAGCTGCACTAGAGAAGGCAACGAGTGTTATATCACTATGTTGGAGACACGCTAGCTTTCCCAAGGCAGACGAACTTAGAGTGGTTACAATCATCTGGGTTTAAATCGCACTCAAATTGATTTGATATTGACGCAATATTTACACTAATGCTCGCAGGCGGCTGTGGTAAGGGGCATGACATTTCCCAGACCAGGCGCCGAGTGCTGCCAATCACAACACACACTGGCCCAGCTAACCAATCACAACACATTTCGTATTTCAGAAGGCGGGTCTTCATTTGATACAGGAACTATTCGAGCTGTTCATGCCAGACTGGGGAGAGAGGTGTTGTAATAATGTAAAATATGTGAAAAATAATGTGTTTTTCGAACAACCTAGTATGAGAGCCTGTTCTAGTAAACCCCCAAAACAAAATCAAGACTTTGTAAAAGAGCATAATAGGACCCCTTTAATATGCAATAAAACTGAGCAATGAAAGTTCTGTGAATCACCACTTGTAGGCAGTGTCTGCATATTATACATACTCTGCTGAATCTATTGACTATTATAATGAAAGACTAAAACAACCTTCTGTATTTTTGTCACAATGATGCTGATGAACAGAAAAAAAAACACTTTATATTGTAAATAAATACATCACTAGGCAAGACTAATTAATATACGGTGTGTTTCCAAATACACTAATGCCATTCTTTCAGTTCTTACCTTTTTGTTTTTTGCAACCATGATGGCAGTGTCATTGTGGTTGTTTTTCAGACTACTGTCAGCTCCATCTTTCAGCAAGACCCTGACAATCTCTATATGACCTCTGCCACAGGCGCTGTGTAACGCTGTGTTCCCACTGTAAGACTGAGTGTTCACATCGCACCCACTCTGAAGGAGACAGCACACAGAAAAAGACACTATGAACATTAATAACTGCCCATAACACACAGACAAAAACTGAGTAATAGATTTCAGGCTTATTTGTTCATCCTTGTCCTTACCAACAGAGAAGTACAAGATAAAAATGAAAGGAACAGATTGTGACAAAAGTGATGACTCATTGGTACTGACGTGTGAAGTGTGAAACAACTCAACAGAAAAAAACATACACAAATATATATACATGCACACTCACCTCGATCAGAAAGATAACCATGTCAGTAAAGTTGTTTTCTACAGCATGAACCAGTGGACTTCGACCACTCTTATTATCCTGTGATAAAAGAGTAAAAAGAGACACAATAAACAAATACTGTGTGCGGTAAACCCTAGCGATCATAATACATAACTCACTTCAGAGGAAAGGAATAACTCATGCATGAGTAAAATATAACAACACATCGGACAACATAACAGGTAGTGGAAATTATTACAAACTCACTGACCCCAGCATTGATTTCAGATCCGTTCTTCAATAAGATTTTTGCCAACTTTTTATCTCCATTCTGCACAGCCAGGTGAAGGGGCGTCAGACCTTAAATAAGACATTAAAGGGTTAGTTCACCCAAAAATGAAAATTAGCTTGTGATGGCACTCACCCTCGATGCACACCTCTGAGATATGCTAGTCTCGCGAGTTTGTTTACAGGAGCAAAGGAAGCAAAGTTTCCTTACTTTAGCAAAGGAAAACCAGTCTCCTCTTGGCTTATGTCGAAATCCTCTGACATTTTTCTTTACAAATCCTCATTTTGTACTTCTAATTCGTGACCGGCATTTTGTTTTGTTCTCTCTCCACGCTTGTCACTAATCACGCAACGCCGACGTCTTACATCATCCGCCGGAACGCCTTCCGCATATGACAGAATACCGGAAGTGAGAGAAAAATGTTTATAACGTGAAATATGGATATTTTTCTTACAAGAAAAAATATTTTTCCCCCCCCCCCCCTACAG